AAAAAAAAAAAAAAAGACACATGGCAAATCAAAGCCCCAGAAACTTAGCCCAAACCTGAAAGTGTGGTTCTTCTCACTGGACCAGCTCTCCAGGTGTTGCCAGGTCCCTCACCAAGCTGCAGCATTGGGGCCAAATCTTTTGATCACTTGCTGAGTGCCAGGTGGTGAACACTGTTGGACACTGGTGGGTGGAGGGTGAGTAAACTTAGCCTTGGCCTTGGGCAGTTTGCAAGCTAGGAGGGAGGAAAAGGCCAGCAGGCAGCAGTGGTTCTCAAACAGATAGATTTTGCTCCCCAGGAGGCATTTGGCAAGGTCTGGAGATATTTTTGATTATTGTGAGTAGAAGGGGGGAAATGTTACTGGGTATCTGTCACGTCCTGCGTGGCAAGGGCAAATGGGACACGAGACGGGCGACGCAGATTGAATAAAGAGACAGAGACAGAAGTAATATTTAAGTGCGAGACCAAGGGACTCAGCCTTCAGAGAGTCAGACTGAGCCACCGAACCTGGTTGAGGCTTGGTTTTTATTGAGAACTTTCAAAGAAGTAAAACTGCTGTCAATCAAATTAGCATCTGTTTGAGGTCTGTGCCTCAAAGCCTTTTTCATTAACATATCCATTATGTTCCAGCATATGCTATGCCTTCACATATCCACCACATAGCCCCAGGACACCTTGTTACTGTGTCCTCCCAGAGGAGATTAACTGTTAGCATTCCAACAGGTCCCAATACACCTTGAGACACTCCTCAGAGGGAGTCTTATCGGCCTCTGGTCACACCGAGGCTTTTCTCTCATAGCTAAATGGGATTAGAGGCTAAATGCAGGGGGACGTGTTTATAGAATTCGGCTGTCAGGCAACAGGTATCTAGTAGGTAGAGGCCAGGAATGCTACTAAATATCATACAATGCACAGGACAACCCTTAAAAGAAAGAGTTATCAGGCCCAACATGTCAATAGTGCCACTGTTGAGAAACCCTTGTATTAGAAAAAAAGTAGGATCTTTTAGGACTTCAATAAAATGCTATAAAACTCAGACTGCCCCTGAGTTGGTGATTTGCAGGAAGCCTAGACTCAGAATTCCAGTTTGATTCCACCTATGGACCTATCTGAAATAACTTCAGAAGTCCTTTAGTCCAACTTCTTCATTCTACAGATGACAAAACAGGGACCAAAAAAAATTATAATAGCAACCAGGGCCATTTCTTGAACACCTGTAATATGTCACACAATGCAGTAGTGTTTTGTAAAATTTGATAGTCACCACAACCCTGTGAGCAGATATTCTATTATCTGTACGGTGGCGGGGGCGGGGGGGCTATAAGTTACCTGCTTAATGTCCCAGAGCTTAGAGGAGGCAAACTGGGTTCAAACAGCAGTTCCTCTGATGTCCAAGACCTAGATCTTTCCGTCACATGCAGACACTGCAAGTGATTCTTTCCAGTACAGTGTTCATTCCATGGCTGACCCTGCCTGCCCATTCACTATCCCAAGGACCCTCTTCCTAAGTAAATCAATTAAAGTAAAGATTGCCATCCTTTGGGACTTCATGGCCCATTACAATTTAGATTTTTAGATGTGTGTGTGTATGAGAGAGAGAGAGAGAGAGAGAGAGAGAGAGAGAGACAGAGAGAGAGACAGAGAGAGAGATCTACACAGGATGGCCAACCTTCTATCTTGGCAACTACGGATACTAACAAAACCAGTGATCATCTTTCATCACAGTCATTTCATAAATTGAAGAATATTTCAATAATCTCAGAGTAAAAATAGTCCTTTAAATTAAATCAGTCTAATGTTATGAAAAACTTACAACAGTGTTCTCATTTCTCTATTGTATAGTGAGTCACTATACAATTACTTATCTACGCACTCTCAGTGAGAGGTTAGTTTACTTCAGAACGAAACCCCAGAGTGAAAAACTCAGACATTCTCATAGTTGAAAAACCCTCAGGACTCATGCAGACCAGTGTGGTCTAGTGCAAGGAGCTTTGAGTCCAGAGACTGTGGCTGGAATCCCAGCCAATCTGCATGAGAAGTGGGAGTGCTTTAGTCACCCTCATGAATCTCCCTGGGCCTCAGTCTCTGCCCTTGAAAATGGGAATAAGTGAATGTCATCCTCTCAGGGCCAAAGAGCATGTGTGAAGTGCTTCCAGCAAGGCCCAGTTAGTAACACCTCCCTCTCTCAGAGTCCAGGAATCCATTATCCCTGGCAGTGGTTCTGCCTCAAGTTGCACACTTTCTGCTCGTGACACACTGGCCACCTCACACCCAGAAGGCAGCTCTCACAGGAATAGGTCCTTCCCCATCTAGCCCAGCTCTTATCTGGCATTACTGAGTGAGACCCACCACATTCCTATGTCTCCATCAAAACATCTGCAGCATATGAGAGCCACTAACCCTCCTGCCCTGGGGTCTTCACTGCCAAGTGGTGGAAACGGCTACCCAGAGAAAAAATCTTACTGAAGATGTCAGAACGTCTACCTAAGAAACCAGGTTGAAGTAATAACACAAATTTCCTGGCTAGGATTTCATAACACACTTTATGACTCCTCCCTGGTCCCCAGCCCACAAGGGAAAAGGTCACTTTAAAATGACTACTGAGCTTATGCAAATACACCGCAGGATTGAAAGGGAAGTGAACACCTGGTGCCTGTACTGACAAAGCACATCCACCGTATTTTTCGAAGTCTTTGGAAACAGATGTCCAAATGGCCTCTCTCTAGATGAGTGTATATGAATGTGAATATCTATATTCTGAAAGCATAGCAATTTTACAATTCCGATTTCCTTCCTGTCAAAGGGGAAGGCTCTGTAACTGCTGTTCTAGGAAGTGGGAGCATTATGCTTCAGAGAGGGAGGGAACACTAGTCCAGTGGTTCAGGCCTGAGCTGTATGGAAGGGCACAGGGGCTGAAGGGGTTAGTTCGAAATTAACAATCGTAGGAAGTCTTGAAATAGAAACCATTCACCCAAGGACCCTCCTGTGTGTGGAAGTGCCTTGGCAAAAATGAAACAGCGAGTTTCAGAGGGTTGGGGTTTGGGAGCCACCAGCTCCGACACCATCTCCTTTATCCCAAGTTATCTTTCACCCACGGCTGGCACCCTGCCTCCATACTTAGGTCTGGCTTTCACCCTATTTGGGGGTGGGTAGCAGGGAGCCATTGTAACTGGAAAGAATAACCTACTTCTTCCCCAATGAACATTTTGCTGTGGAGAAAGAAATTTCTCTCATCCCACTCACAAGAGGGATATTAATAAATGCTAACTTGAGTGGGGCCTGAGGTACCCCAATAGGAAACATGAAAGAAGACGTCAGAGGGAGAACCTGAGAAACCTGGAGGAGAAAAGGAAATGGAAGCCAAGGACCAAAGGCAGTTAATCAGAGGAGGGAGAAAGAGCAGCGGTTGAGAGAGCACTGCTGATGAAAAGCTATCCCAGTCAGGCAGGAGCCCTGCAGAGAAAAGTGAGAGAGTTTGTGGGTTCAAGATACAGGAGGAGAGAGTGGCCAGCATGGCCCCGAAGAGCAGTGACCACCTGAGCTTACATAGGGGAGGAACCATGCTCCTGCTAGGAAGAACAGAGTTTGTATGAGCAGTGTTGGAAAAAGAGCTGGATTTATTGTAAGTGACCAGTGGAAGGAAAGAAGGTGGGAGGGAAAGGAGAGAGGGAGGGGTGAAGTGGGAGAGAGAGGGAGCAGAAAAAGCTATTCATTCACTAACTCATTCAATTAAAGCTATACAGAATCTCTAGGTCACAGAGCACTGTCCTAGATCCTTTGTAGACAACTCCAAGATGAGTCAGGGTAATAACTTGGTGACAACCCCCAGGAAGGGTACCTGGGCTCTCCCGGCCTCCCCTTCCTCCCACATACAGAGAGTATTTAATATCAAGAGAGTATCTAAAATCAGTCATATAGCTCTTATTGCTGTATTGCAAATATATAGGCATTTGCACTTGAACCCACATTTCTGATTATGGAATGAAAGGTTTTAATCCCACCTTAAAGGCATTTAAGCCAGCATGACTTTGGTGGAGTATTTGGCAGGTGAGTGGTGCCTCTCAGCATCTCTGAAATTGCTCTGCACAGGTGACCATCTGCCTCCCCTGTATGGGGACCAGGGGATGAAAGCGCTCTGGTGACTGTGAGGTTTCCGGATAGGCTCTGATGAGAAAATGGAATAGGCTGCTGGGCTTGATTCCATACCCTCACAGGCTAGAACCTGGAAGGTGGGGATCTGATGTAATTCACGTGGTGGGTGGGGAAAAGGGACATTTAGATCTTAGAAGGTCACACCCTGAGCCTGAAGCATCATTGTCCTGTGCTGACAAACCACATAACAGACCAGGCTGCACTAAAAGATGTTCTCTAGCCTGGTGTTTTAAGAGAAGAGCAGACAGTGTTCACATGCAACCTCACATGCAGTTCCTTACCTCGTAATAAATTGCTTCACTGAGTCTTAGCTGTCTCATCTGTAAAATAGGACTAGTGCTTAATTCACAGGGGTATTGTGAGGTTTTAATTTGATGAAGAAAATGTTTAGTGCAGTGCCTGGCACATAACAGACACTACACACACACACACACACAAACACACACACACGTTTATGTATAGACTATCACGATTCTAATGGGCAAATGATACCATTTATGGAGTACTTGCAATATGTTAGATGTTGTTCCAATGTATACATGTTTTAACTTAGTTAACCCCTTTGAAAACCCTATAAGTAGTAGTATTATCCCATTTTATACATAAGAAAACTGAGGCACAGAGACAATAACTCATTCAAAATCACATAGTTAGAAGGTAATTGCGTCTGAAAATAAGATGCTAGTCAATAAACTGTAACTTTATTTAAAGGGCACCATTGTTTCGTTTTAAATATACTAAAAGCAGTTGACTAGAATAATATGTTTATCTCTTACAAAGAAAAATACATACAAGCTTGGGTGGTTTCTTATTTATGTGGATCTCATTTGATTTTCCTTTTGGCTTCAGCACAAAAACCCTGTATTACTCTCCACTGAGAGCCAGGCTGGAGACGGATGCTGAGAACAGAAAGGGTGTGTGAGGATTCCTTTGGCTTCGCCCTTGCTTCTAACTATTGTGGGTACCAGGTGACCTGTCCCAAAGTGCTGTGATGATGGAGGCTCTCCCCACGGCTCTGGAGGTCGACGAGAAGTCTCCAGAATCCAAGGACCTGCTACCCAGCCAGACGGCCAGCTCCCTGTGCATCAGCTCTAGGAGTGAGTCTGTCTGGACCACCGCTTCCAAGAGTAACTGGGAAATCTACCGCAAGCCCGTCGTCATCATGTCTGTGGGCGGCGCCATCTTTTTGTTTGGTGTGGCCATAACCTGCTTGGCCTACACCGTGAGGCTCGGTAATAAGAGCCTTGAGGTCCTTAAGATGACAGGACCTGCTTTCCTGTCCCTGGGACTCATGATGCTGGTGTGTGGACTGGTGTGGGTACCCATCATCAAAAAGAAACAGAAGCAGAGACAGAAGTCAATGTTCTTCCAGAGCCTCAAGTCCTTCTTCTTAAATCGCTGATGGCGACCTCACCTTTTCTCCTCCCCAACACCCTGCCATCTCTACTAGGAGAAGATCTGATGACCAACATCCAATATCCCATCTCCTTGGTGGTGGGTTGGCCATAGAAATGACCCAGGCAAACCCTCTTCCTGGACCTGTGGGGAAGAAAAAGCTCAGGGCTTCACCCTCCACGTAGCTAGGGTGCGTTGCTAAACAGGATGTATCTCATTTAGTCTCTGTTATTACTGATGCTTCCCTTAGATCCTGGCCGCAGCCATCTCCTTTCATGGCTCTCATGCCCTGTCATGCATCCAGGCGTCACTCATCTAACTCCCTCTGCCAAGTGCAGTGCATGCTAGGAAATTCCTTGGGGTAGGCTCTGCCCCAAGGAGAACCTCATGTTTACATATCTGAGTGCCTGAGCTGGAGTCCACATTTGCAAACTTCTAGAACCAAACTGACCATCAGACGTCCTTTACAGAGGGGAAGGAAGGCTGACTTCTGACCCACTGGGTTTGCCAGCCCAGCTCCCTTTGTGGGCGAGATACTGACTTGCATTTCAAAAGACCAGACAATTCACATGTATCAAACATTCTAAAGAGTGAAGGGGTCAGGAAAGACATTTTCTGAGAAGGCACATTTCCCTGGACGTGGCCCTGGAAGTCAGCCAGCCAAGGAAGTTCAATTCTCAATTATATAGTATTTACACCAGAGGCAGTGGGTGGACTAGGCAGTATCACAGTTTCCTCTTGACCTTTTAACTCCTTCTCCTTTATTACTCTTCCCTCTGAACTTGACAACTAGCCAAGGACAAGTACATGTTGCCCTAACTTCCTTTTTGCCCCTATCCTTGATTCTAGAACAGCTAGATGGAGAGCTGTAGATGGATTCTATAAGATTGCTCTCTCCTTTACCTCCACCAAGAATCAAAACCAAGAAGATCAAATTCCACATTCGAATAGTCTATAGGCTTCCAGAGATGGAATTCACTTTTGAAAAACCCCAACTCCTCCTCTTCCTAACCCCACCCACCAAACAAGCAAACATTTATTGAGAACCCTGCTTTGGGCCAGGCCCTGGTCTGGGAGCAAGAGACATGGTCCCTGCTCTCACCTTGTTTCCAAAGTGAGAGATATAGCCAGGCCAACGGCAATTGGAATACCCTATGCTGAGCACTTGACTGAGGAAATGTGGGTGAGTGTGGGAGCCCAGACAGGGCATCTAACCCAGACTTTGGAGAGGACAGAGAGATTGCTGTGTCACCCAAACTTTGAACAAAAGAAACGTGTTGAGCTCTCAAAGAAGGGAAAGGAGAAGCAATTTGGGACAGCAGGAACTGCCTGTGCAAAAGCTGGGTGGGGTGAGGGGGAACATGATAAAATTAGGAAACTGCATACAAATTTTCTAGCCTCCCAAAGGTTCCCTTTCCTCCTCTCCTATGGCCTCCTTCTCACCTGCTTCCCCAAGTGCCTCAGTGCAGCTTCTCTGGGGGCACATTGAGAGCTTCCTGGGGTGTATGGGAAAAACTGGAAAGGGGTTTCTAGAAGGCCTACTAAGCAGCTCCCAGAACCTGGGGCTTCCTGTAGTAGTCAGAGGCCCTTAGGTGACAGACCAGGAGGGGTAGCTATGTGAAAGGTGGCCACCATGTTGCCCTAGGCCAGGCCCAGGCCCAGTGGACAGCATTTGATAATGAGCCCTGAGCGAGAGGTGTTCTGCACTGTGATCACCATTGGCTTGAGCTGACTCCCTTCACTCCTCAGCCCTCTGGCCTCCTGGTCAATATGGTAACCGCTCTCTAACAGGCCCCCAGGTATCTGCATCCTTCATGGTGGCTCCATATGCGGAGTCAGGAACTCACCTTGTCCCCTCTGCATTATTGGAATTCCATGGAGGCAGGTACCTGTCACATGGAGCCAAAGTTAGGGGAGCCTGTGGCCTTTGAGCTTTACCCAGAATGGCTATGTCTCTCATTCATCCAGTGCGCCTGGGCTCTTGAGCCCACCTGTCCCCTGCACACAGGAGGTCAAGATTAATCCTTGAGGTGTTGCAAGAGCTTTGTCACTAATTGTAGTTCCAGTGTCTCAAGTGGCCAGGCTCGCCGATTATTTCCTTTCTCTGACATGAAGGCAGATTCAATATTGGCCCAGTACTATCACTCCTACATGCCTTGATGCTTCTTACATGGGAGCAAACGAGGTGTGCTCCCAGCCAGCTCAGCGGGAATCTGCACCTCTCATGTCTCAATTCATCTGCCCAAAAGCTTGTGGTCTGGGCGCAGATGTGGGAGGAGCATGCTGCCATCACCCGTGTCTTAGTGGAAGGAAGTTTGGGGACAGCGATAACTCTAGAAAGTTCTGAACTCATGTTGTAGTCTGCTGCAGTACTCGCCCATATTCCCTACTCCTCAAGCTAGTATCTCAGCAGGAAAAGTGAGGAAAGGGCTCTGAAGAAAAATCTTCAAGTATCATTCAACCCCACTGAGATCCCCCATAGGGGTGTGAATCTAGGAATATGCCAGCATCATGCTGAGGAGTTTTTGCTAAAGACCAGCACTGCATGGAAGCCTGGGGTATGGGTGTGTCTGATCTGTGGATGCAGCCCAGGTCAGATGCCGCATTTCTGGGGAAAAAACTCAACACCAAGACTCCTTTCATGCCTGTGGGTCAGAGGACAGGACGGGCATCCACGTGTTCGGCTAACTGGATTGCATTATCCCACCCATAGCTATTCTGTTTGGGAGGGTTCAATTAAATCTGAGGCCCTCAAGGAATTGTTGTAATGTTGAATTGTACTCAACATTCTACTTAACACTGAATTCTACTTATGCTACTTAACGGTGTCTGCTGTGTGTTCATTCTGCTCCATCAGAAATTCCAAGACTGTACCCACTAATTCATTCCTCTAAACTGTACCCCCATCACCACATGTCTTCCCCTTTCCCCCACCCCAGGGAGCCATCTGGGACAAAGGGGACCAACCATGTGGGTTTCATGCCTGGTTCCTCAGGATCCTCATAGAAGCTGATGACCCTACTCTGAGATGCTGATGGGGGAGACAGAGAAGAAGCTCCCGACTCTTTCCAACCCTCACAAGTCCAGTATTGAGACCAAAAAAAGAAAAGGAAAAGTACCTTCCAGAATGAATCAGTGGTCCAAGGTGAGGCAGGCAACTACCCCAGGGTCAGCCTGTTGATGTCCCCACGAACTCAGGAGAGCAGGCACAAGAAGGAGTGGCAGTTCAGCTCCCAGGCCCTCTGTGGCCTCCTTCGTCTTCGTAAGCCCTTCCCTTTTTCTGGACCAGCCTCACTGCTTCTCTAGTCTTAAATCCTGACTCTCTTCTCCTGGGTCCCCACCAGACTCACTGTGTCCTTGGCTTGCTGCTTGCTCTAGCTTGCTCTGCCCTTAGAGGAAAAAGGAAGAGGATGGTGCTAGGTCTGGACAAGCAAACAGTATGTATTTTATTCCTCCTTCCATTCCTGCAGCATTGTCATGACACCCCACACCTCTTGTCCTCCAGATCCATCACTTTGTCACCGTCTCCAGCCCTCAGAGATCAGAGGTCCCTGGAAAACTAAACCCCAAGCCCCAAATGTGTCTGATATTAAATATGTTCAAGGGAACTGCCTGAGTATGGTGAGGCTTCTAGGCATCACCTACTGGGTGTCACAGGGGCTTGGGATGGTGGGGGAGGGTTGAGGGAGGGCTGTTAGAAGGAAGCAAGAGGAGAGAAAAGACGTGGCAGCTGGCCACAACACTGTGGAGTGGTGTTTAAAGAGCAAAATAAGGGCACAGGCTGAAAATGATCAACACTTCTTGGGTGTGTACTACATGCTAGGCACTGATCTAAGTACTGCCTGCATTAACTCACTTCATTCTTTCAAAAAACCCTGTTCTGAGGTACTATTGTAATCATCATCCCCACTTTACAGGTGACATAAGTGAGGCACAGGGACACCAAACTAAGACAACACTAAGCTGGGATTGAAAACCAGGTGGCCTGACTCCAGAGGCCACACCCATTAGCCCCACTGCATTCAGTTCTCCAAAGGCCTCTAAGGAGCAGCAGAAGACCAGAGTGGCTGTGGTGGGCTCTGGCCTGCAGGGTGGGACAAGCAGGAGTGGAACTGGGGTCAGGAGGCAGGTAAGGAGGACACACCAAGCCGGGGCCCAGAACACCACCCAAGAAAGTGGCCAGGAGCTGGGGGCAAGGACAAAAGGAGCCAACAGCCAGAAAAGAACCCAGAATTCTGAGCAGCTCTTGTGTGTCAGCACCGTACTAGTGGCATTCGTGTAGGTTTTGCTTTTCTCCCTCCCCTCCCCCCACAATCCTTAGTAGTACATTTTACAAAGAAACAAACATGGCTCAGAAAAGTAAATAACTTGTCCCAGGCCTCACATCCCATAAGCAATGGATCAAAGATTTAGGCCCAAAGTGACCTCCAGAACCCATGCTATCTCACCCCCTGAATTCCTGGTTTATGCCGCGTGAGTGGTCAGAGGCAGGAATGGGAGATCTCTGACTGCCGGTACAAGTGACACTGCCAGAGCAGGGTGGTCGTGGTCCATCCAGCTTTTGTCCCACAGGCCAGGTTCTCCTGCTAGCCAGCAGGAGCCAGAAGGAGAATCTGGAACTGCCTGACACTGGCTATTATGACTCCACATCACATCATAGGCCAAGTTCATAACCCCCTCAAAAGTTCAAGACCACCTCCCACAGGAGTGTTCAGAACCAGAGCAGCAGTCAAAAGTATCACTTCTCCGGGGCACGGAGCTGCTGAACTCCAAGTCTTCCCACAGGGAGAGCTGCTGTGGGCCATTTGCCCCGCTCTCCATTTCTCAAAAGACCCTCCTTGCCTCATTCAAGACTAGAGCGGAGTCATTGATGATCCTTGGGCCTAGCCTCTCCTGGACCCTGCTAAACTGGGTATTCACCCTTCCAGGTCCTGCCTCCTACCTTCCTTGGAGCCTTGAGCCTGTGCTCTCAACACCCACAGACAGTGGCCAGTTCCTGTCTGAAGTGTCCATCTATGCAGCCTGCACACAGCTCCAGGGCCATGCCTGCCAAACCAGGCCAACACTGTGCGGTAGGCTCCCTCAGGTCTTCTGTGGGGGCCTGTTCCAAAGGAGCTGTACTCTCTTCTCCTGTGGACTGCAGGTGCAGGAATGGGGGATCCCAGGCCATCTCCCAGTCCAGCTCTCCTATACCAAAGAGAAAGGAGGCTTGGCAAGGGGCACCCCCAGAATGAAGGCCATCTCCCACTGCCCAGCAGGGTCTCCTGGCAAAACCACCAAAGTCAAGTGACTGCACAGAATTGGAGGAGCAGCTGCCACAGGCCCTCTGATGATGATGTAGACCAAGCTGGGCTTATCTTCCACCAGGAAAGAAATGTGGATGTGTATAGCGACCATCTTCCTGTTTAGGCTGCATGGGGAGAAGACCCGAGAAAAAAAGGGAAGCCTGGCTCTGTTATGGTCGCAGTTGCCCAGCTCATTTACAGGCCCCACCCCCAGGCCTTCCCTTCCTCTGCTCTCTTTCTCAGATGTGATCTCTGGATCCACCCCTCAGAGTGGCCGCTAGCCTGGCATTTCAATCCCGGGAGCCCTGACCAGACACCAACAAGCAAATTGGGGATATGGTGATGAAGACGTGCTCTGACCACAGGAAGCATTCAGGCTAGTCCCTAGAGGACAAAGCCAAGGAAATCATCAGTTGTGATGCAGTGTGTCAGAGATGGAGGGAAACAGGGGTGCGGTGGGAGGAGAGAGGATGGCACTCAAGTCAGTCGGGCCCCAACCCACCCTTTCAGCCTTCTGGAATGTCACTGTGCCAGGTTTTCACATCACAGATGGGAGGGAGGAGCCTGAGACCAGAGGACGGAACGAGAGGGGATTAGGAGTGACCACTCCCTTCGATTACATTCACGACTCTGTTTCAGGGTCTTGCTTTTCACTGCTTCCTCTGAAAGCTTTCTACCATAGCCTCCAGATGTGGTATAAAGGTGCCACTTTTGAAGAACATGCTCGGGGAATCACTTCCTCTACCTGACTGCATTTCTGTCCTGACACCCTGCCATCAAGAAGCAGCAGTGTGAGTCTGTTCTTTTCTGGAGTGTTGTCTCCCTGAAGGGTCTTCCCTAGGCCTCACCTCTCCTCATTCCAGTGCTTCTCTGAATGATTTCTCCCACTACGATGGGTTCAGTTATTCTGTGTGCTGGTGGCTCTCCAAATCTACCCTCATATCCCTAAATGCCTACTGGACAATGTGTTAGCTTCTTATTGCTGCTGTAAAAAAGAAAAAAAAATCTGTTTAAATTGAATAACAGTTTTTTTCAACTTTTAATAATTGTTTCATTTTTCAATTACAGTTGACATACAATGTTGTATTAGTTTTAGGTGTAAACATAGTGATTAGACATTTAAAAAACTTACTAGGTGATTACCCTGATAAGTCTAGTACCCATCTGACACCATGCACATTCATTATAATATTATTGACTATATCCCTTATGCTATACTTTACATCCCCATGACTATTTTGTAACACCAGTTTGTACTTCTTAATCACTTCCCCCTTTTCACCAACACTTCTAACTCTCCCTCCCAGCTGTCAACCATCAAAATGTTCTCTGTGTCTATGAGTTTGTTTCTGTTTTGTTTGCTTTGTTCTTCAGATTCCACATATAAGTGAAATCATATGGCATTTATCTTTCTCTGTCTGATTTACCCCACTTAACACAGTACCCTCTAGGTCCATCCATGTTGTTGCAGGTGGAAAGATTTCATTCTCTTTTGTGGCTGAGTTATATTCCATTGTATATATGTACCACCTCTTTACTCATTCATCCACTGATAGACACCCAGGTTGCCTCCATATCTTGGCTATTGTAAATAATCCTGCAATGAACATGTGAATGCACATGTCCCTTCAAAGTAGTGTTTTGGGTTTCTTCAAATAAATGCTCAGAACTGGGATTACTGGGTCCTTGTCTCTTGTCATAGCATTTGTTTTACAGTGTATTTTATCTAGTATAAGTATTGCTACTCCAGCTTTTTTGTCTGTTTCCATTTTCATGAAATATCTTTTTCCATCCCTTTACTTGCAGTCTGTGTTAGACTTTCGATCTGAAGTGAGTCTCTTACAGGCAGCATATGTAAGGGTCTTGTTTTCTTATCCATTCTGCTACTCTATCTTTTGACTGGAGCACTTAATCCATCCAGAGTTAAAGTAATTATTGATAGACGTGTAGTTATTGTCATTTTACTATTCATATTTTTTTCTTCTTTTTGGTTTTAAAGAAGTCCCTCTAACATTCCTTGTAATACTGGTTTGGTGTTTACAAACTCCTTTAGCTTTTTCTTGTCTGGGAAGCACTTTATCTGTCCTTCGATTCTAATGATAGCTTTGCTGAGTAGAGCAATCTTGGTTGTAGGTCCTTGCTTTTCATCACTTTGAATATTTCCTGCCAACCCTTCTGGCCTGCAAAGTTTCTTTCAAGAAATCAGCTGACAGTCTTATGGGAGGTCCCTTGTAGCTAACTAATTTCTTTTCTCTTGCTGCTTTTAAGATCCTCTATTTGTCTTTAACCTTTGGCATTTTAATTATGATTTGTCTTGGTGTGGGCCTCTTTGGGTTCATCTTGTTTGGGATTCTCTGTGCAGAGAGCTTATATATCTTGTATGTTTCCTTCACTAGGTTATGGAAGTTTTCTGTCATTATTTCTTCAAATAAGTTTTCAATCCCTTGCTCTTTCTTTTCCCCTTCTGGCACCGCTATGATGTGAATATTGTTATACTTGATGTTGTCCCAGATGTCT